AAAGAAACAACAGTAATGGTTTTAAAACAATGTGAATATAATTAATGCCTGTGAACTGTACACTCAAAAATGGTTAAAACTTTGTTATACAGGTATATGGATTGAAAGTACTTTTAAAAGTTCAGGATAGGGGCCGGCCCGGTGGCGCACTGGATAGTGCGCCGCTTGGAAAGCGCGGCGGCGCTTTTCCATGAACTTCTTAAAGTACTCTTGTATGCTCTATCACAATAAAATATTTTAAAAAACAAAAGAACAATAAAGTGACAGTACCTAACTTGAAGCGACTCTCACTGGGCCAAATTTGGGCATCAACATTAATGACAGCAATGGATTACAACCCACTGAATAAATTAGGAATCTATGAGTCCACACTGATATAAACACAGTTTTGTTTATTTTAAGGGGGTTGTGGGTTAGAGAGAAGAGAAAGTTTTTCCTTATGACAGAATGCTAGCATAATAAACATATATATATATATAGAAAGAAAGGGCTAATTACAAAAACCACCCATTAAAAACTATCATATTTGTCTTAGCGGGTTTGAGCTGTTATAACAAATTACCATACAAACTTATGTGGCTTAAACAACAAAGTATTTCTCACAGTTCTGGAGGCTGAGAAGTCCAAGATCAAGGTACCACCAGATCTGGTGTCTACTGAGGGCTTTCCTCTTGGTCTGCAGATGGCTATCTTCTCGTTGTAGCTTCATGTGGTGGAAAGCAAAGAGCGCGAGAGCAAGCTCTCATGTCTCTCAATAAAGTCACTAATCCCATTCACAAGGGTTCTTTACACTGTCATGACCGAATCACCTCCCAAAAGGCCCGCCCTCCTGATACCATCACACTGGGTGTTAGGATTTCAAAACACAAATTTTAAGGGATATAAACATTTAGTCTACAACAATGTTAATAATTAATTCAGGCAAGAAACATCAATGTATGCTAAAACTAGCGGGTGAAAGTGGGATGAGGAAAGGTATAATCATACAGTTTCAAAGTATCTCCACATAAAAGTTATTAATTTCAGGGAGAAGGGTAACTTCATAGTTAAGAAACTTTGCAGATTCCATCTTAATCAAGTGATAAAAGTCAACAACACCAATAAGGGGACAAATCAATAACATGTACAGCCTAACAGAAAGCAATAAAAAGAATACAGCATCACCTCAGGGTCACTTCAGGGATTGTCATAAGCAATATGCACAATCTGGATCTAATCATAAAGAAACTTCGGACAAACCTAAACTAAGAAACACTCTATAAAAAAGACTGCCCTGTACTCATCTTGCCAAAAACAGTAAGCCAAAAAAGGCAAGGAAAGGGCTGGCCCAGTGGCGCACTGGAGAGTGCGCCGCTTGGGAGCGCGGCGGCGCTCCCGCCGAGGGTTTGGATCCCATGTGGAGACCGGTTCCCGCTCACTGGCTGAACGCGGTGCGGGCGCAACACCGAGGGTTGCAATCCCATTACTGGTCAGTAAAAAAGACAAAAAGGAAAAAAAAAAGTCATCTTTTCTTCTTTCATGAATTTTTTGGTGGCAAAATACATGTAACATGAAGTTTACAATTTTAAACATTTTTAAGTATACAGTTCAGTGGTGTTAAGGACATTCACATTGTTGTGCAATCATCAACAGCCTCTATCTATGGAATTTTCTCATCTTCCCAATCTGAAACTTGATACCCATCAAACTACAATTCCCTCACCCCTCTTCTCACCAGTTCCTGGTAACCACCATATACCATTCTACTTTAAATACATTTTTCTGGTTTTTGTTTTTTGCTTTCTTCAACAGGGACTCCAATAATGCATATGTTAGAGGTACCACCATCTAATTTAAATAGCTAATATTTGAAGTTATTTTTAAGTCTTTATCTTTAATTTTCCACTTTTCTATTCTCTGCAAGGAAAGACTAAGAAGCTGTTCCAGACTGAAGAAGTCTAGAACAATGTGATTTATTAGTCCAGATTCGATCTTTTTGTTATGAAGGACACTATTGGGGCATGGTTGAAGACAATGATGGGGTCTCTGGTGGAGGGTTACAGGAATTCTTTGAATTATGTTTGCAACTTTCCTATAAATTTAAAAATTGTTTCAAACACAATTTTTCAAATGTTTTAATATTTTCTTCCCACAGTACAAAGAATCATCGTGTACATCTCACTGACAAAAACAAAAATACTGACTAGCATGACTTTCCTAATTGCTCAACGTATATAGCAATATATACAATATACCAATATATACAACTATTCTTTGCATGGTTTACAATGCAGTGAATTTTTTCCTAAAACAACAGCTATTTTCTATTCACAAAATCTTTTACATGGGAAATCTTCAATGAGCCCACTCGATATAGAGAACAAGTTCACAGAAATCTGACAGATACCAGGCAGTAAAAGCTATAGCTTCTGTGATAGCATAAAACCTGAGACATTACTGAAGTACAGGAAGGTGTAGACAGCACTTGTACTCTGTGTTCCATTCCATTCTGCTTTATTTTCTCCACAAAAATTATCTGTTACCTGTTTACTATCTACAATTCACACTAAGATGTAGGCTATGTGAAGGTAAAGGCTTTTGATTCCCAGTGGCTAGACCAGCATCTACTGTTTCATAAAGATATCGTGTACTAGGATTTATTGCAGCATTGTTTTGTACTGTAAACAGAGTGACCAGCTAAATTACTTGGCATGTCACCAAAGACTATCTATCACTTGACATAAAAATGACTCAATTAAAGTTATATCAAATAACTTGAAGGGATTTCCACAATCCATTTAGACATGCAACTTAGGGGAAAGTATGTATAACATGATCTTAATAATCACAATTAAAAACTCTAAATGTTTGTGAATACAGAGAAAAATATAGAAGAACATATATTAAGATGTTAACTGTGGGGACTGGGGATTCATATGTATGATTTTATTTCATGTTTGTCCCAGCACTATTTATTGAAAAGTTTGTTCCTTCCCCATTTGATTTGCAATGCCACTGTTACGATACCCCAAACACCTAGACACATCTAGGTTTTTTTCTAGATTCTCTGTTTCACTGGTCTATTTGACTATACCTGTGCCATTACAACACTGTTTCCATTACCACAGCTTTATAATTTTGGATAAATGGTATCCTGATTCTTCACATCTTTTTCAAGGTTATATTTGCCATTTGGCCCCTCACTTTTTCATATTAATTTTAGAATTAGATTGTCAATTTCCTTACCAAAAAAAGCCTGGATTTTGACTAGAACCATATTAAATTCACACCTTAGTCTGAGGAGAGCTGACATCTTTATGATATTGACTCTTCCCAGCCAAGGAGGTCATATGTTGCTCCTTTTATTCATATCTTTTTTTACATCCTTTAGAAATGAACTGTCATTTTCTCTATATAGGTCTCATATACTTTTGGTAGATTTAGTCTTATTACTCATTACAGTTTTTATGCTATAGTATTTAAAAATTACATTTTTTTTTCAGAACACCTTACTGGCCAGCCACCAAAAAAAAAAAAAAATACATTTTCTAATTTATGCTACTAATAGTTGATTTTGTTATATTGAATCTTGCTAATTTCCTAATAGTTCTAATAGTCTATAGACTTCCTTAGGTTTTCAGCATAGATAATCATATCATCTTTAAATAGTTTTGTTTTTTTCATTCTAACTCTAACACCTTTTATTTTTCTTGTCTAACTGAGATCTCTGTTACCATGCTGCGTGGAAGCAGTGACAGAATCTGTCACTGCTTTGTTCTGATTTTAAAGTAAATGTTTCTAACTTTACCATTCAGTATAGCAAATGCCTATTTATCGGGTCAAGGAAATTTTCTTCCATTCCCAGCTGACTATAACTTTTTATAACTACTAGGTGCTGAATTTCATCAAAGCATTTTTCAGCATCTGTTCTCTCCATTACTTTTTTTCAGGAAAGACAGTCTGCCATGGGTTCTGAATGTCCTTGCACATACTTGCTGTGTATGCCAAACCGCAAGGCCTAACTGATACCAAACAGTTTCTGTAGCTAGTTATAGAAAGAATTAAATAGGTCACGGTGACCACAGCATGACTACTGTATGGCTTACTCATTCCCACGGAAAGGGGACTGGCTTGCTTCCTCCTAGCTACAAAAGGTACCAAGCTTTTGACCCTGGGTTCTTCAGCCATAGTGCTTCTATCTCACTGTGTACATTGTCACCACCTCTGCCTATCACATCACACTGTGGGATGTCGGGGGAGGGAACTAGCACTACCATGCTGATGCTCCTGCTGACTGCTGTGCTGTGAGTAATAAACTGCTCTGACCCACTGAATCTTGTTGTCTACTTTGGGCATGTTGTCAACTATAGAGTTTGTGGCAGCTGAATCCATTCTCTATGAGATGGAGTTCTTTCCCTGACAGTTGATAAGAGATCTTTAAAAGGCTCCTTTACAACTTCCAACACTACCACTGTGAAGTCATTTAAAAAACAAACTATCAACCTGGTTCAATCTGTCCATCAGTTTTTTTCTTTCCTGTAACTATTCTATCAGACGCCCTCTGTAAGTAACCAAAGATAAGAATAATTGAGGCCCTTCCAAAATGCACTTTCCCAACAGAACTTTATTGATCAAGATAAAGAAACTGAGAGAACGCCTTAGAATAGAAGACAGTTTGTAAGGACTCAAATATTTTCAGGATACTTCTGAAAATAATGCCTTACTTTCTAATTAAGCAAACCTATAACTCACAATCCATACCACATATTAAAAATAATTTAGTAATTAACTTGTAAGAATATAATCAACAGTTCAAATATTTTAAAATATATTTTTATTAGAAAATGCCAATAGATGTAAAACACTAGTTATCAGAACATAAAAAAGAATATAATGCTTGCCGCTTTCAAAATTCTAACTCCTAATAAAATATTTCATCTGTGTTCCTTGAGGTTAGATTTCAACAGCAGACATTTCAGTGAGTCAAGTACAAAGTACTTAAGTTATTTTTATATTTTTACCTGTATTCAGGCTGCCGGCTTCCAGAATGATCATCTCTTGTCCATCTATAGCCAGATTCATCCTGTAACATAAAACAGTTACTTAGATATTTGTTTATATTACTTTGGATAAGTAGGATATATATAACAGTATTACTGGAAACTAGTCTCTAAGACGAAAATACTATGAGGGCAAAAACACTCTTCTAAATTTCCCTAGGCTTCAAAGGCATAAAAAGGAAAAATGATACAGCAAGTTATCTAATTTAACAACTAAAGTAGTAAACTGAGAACCTGTGGTACCATTTACCTCTATTAAAATGCTCAAATTATTACTTTAGTATATCCAAACAGCCTTATTGCTAAAAATACATACATCAACATCATAAAAATTAAAGGATATTTGAGGACAAGGGCTAAATTCAGTCAAGCACACATTTCTCAGCCTTTCAGTTTATTTTTCATTTTGTCAAGTTCTCTCATCGATTTTTAGATTCAAGCCCAATGAAGAATTTGCTACTTTCCCACTTTTCTTATTTGGAGTTTTCTTTTCTCACCTTACCTCCCATTAAAAACCACAACTGGAAACAGTACAATAAGAAACTGTAACTTACTGATAAACTATATTATAGTAAGATGTGGCACTAAATTTAAAATTAATCAAATAAAGCACATTTTGTCCTGTAAGACATATTTGCAAGGATGCATAAAAAAGAACCACACAGAAATCCACACCTAATTAACATTATATGTAGAACAGTAAAAATACAAATTACTTATAATCAGAAAAGCTGATTCAGCTAAATATCTTCACCTTTCTCTTTTAGCATCAGATATCCTACACTCTTACTAAGTAAAATGTTTTTATCATTTTCTTTCTAAACATTACATATAAACAAAAGAAAACAAAAACTTCTACAGCTATAATAAAATATTGGATCAAGTATTTTGCTCTATAAAACTGAACTCTAGATAAAAATTAGTGTCATGAGAGTCGTAAGCATCATAATTGTGCTTGTCATTGGTTTGTTTAAAGAGAATTTAAAGAGAAAATGTTGTATAAAGTATGAAGACAAACACGGTTGGTAACGATAGAAAAAACTATTGTTGAAGCACTATTTTGCTAAAAGTTTTTAGAAAAAAAATCATGTTCATGAGGTTTTAAATACAAGCTGATCAAATGAATACAAAACTCCCTGTGTATACTAAATGACCACACAGGGTTTTATAAAAGAGATAACAAATGTTTATGCAAAAGCCAAAGTTTCTCCTTCAGACTACTTGAAGAATGGCTCTGAAGGCAGAAATCCAATATTTCTAAACTAGAGATAATGCATAGTGTTTACTTGTCAACATCCAACCCTTCTTCCTAAAGGAACAGCATGACACTTAAAAATTGAACAAAATAAAAATCAATTCTGTGAGAAGTAAGGAAGCTATAACACCCCAAACTTTAGAAACAAAACACAAAAAAACACTGAATAGTCTCACTACCACTTTAGAATTGTCAAGAGTCACTATGATGTAGTAGTAAGAGAAATGGACTCCCGTACATACCCACCCTGAGTAAATCACCTTACCTCCATTTCTTCAAGTGGAAAGTATGGAAACTAATTCCAACGGCCATTGTGAGGTCAAATTTTATCATAAACAGTGTTTGAATATGTACTCTTAATTACCATGTTATATAGTAGGGAAGGTGAAAAAAGAAAAGGTAGGGAAAAAAGAGAAAAGGTAGGAAAACAGTCTAGCACAGAAGAATGTTGTAAACACGTAAGCTAGGACAGAGGAATTGCATCAAGAAACAGTTTCAATCAAGTTCAGTGACAGATTACTGCAACATCAAATACATACTTCTAGATTATTAAAGATGATCAAGAGAAACACATTATAATAATAATAGTAATAATAGTAACTAACATTAAAAAGTCTTACTACATGACAATGTTTTGAGCACTTACTGAGTTAGTAAATAGATTTTAGTAACAACTATAACAAAAATGAGACTGAGTATCAACAACCTTAACCCAACCTCACCCATAGTATTTCATCATGATGAAAATAATTATAAGCGAGTACATCCAGTAAAAGATGGTAACCACCTGCTCACTTATTAAGTACCACAGCAACAGATGACCTTTATATGGTTCTGCAAATCCCTGCTAATTTAGGGTATTTAAAAAAAAAAAAGCAGGCTAGTTGGAATTAATTTCATTTAGATAGAGCTATCCAGAGTGCTTACCCACATTGTCCAGCACCCCACGATTCTTGACTACTAGTTTCCATTTGACAGCTCCAGCAGGCAATTCAACAGAGCATCAAGCAGGAAGTGTTTATTCAACTGCTTTCATGGCCGTCACATAAATTTTTTTAAATTACATGAATTTTAAAATTAAACGAAATAACAATTAGTACATGGGGGAAATTTACATACTCCTCTGTGAGGTGGACCACTTCTTCGATCATGAGAAAAACTGCGGCCCTCGTCATAGTCTCGGTAATCAACATGACTGTAATATCTATTGTAGCTTCCTTCACCAGGTCTGTCTAGCAGTGGTGGTTTCTTTGGCACAATATTAACTACTCTATGGTAGCCATCCTAAAACAGACAAAAAGAAATATATAAAAATCACTAATTTCTCTATTTGGTTTTGGAATGGTTTTTAAAAAGCACAGGAGTTCTTATCCTTAATCAAATAGGATAAATGTATAAACAAACAAAAATGCATTGATGAAATAACATGAATATAACTAATAGTAAGGTCTTCACATGGATTAAAGGAAATCAAATTGTTTAATGAAGAAAGTCAGGTGTTCAAAATAACATGCAGCAATGCAAAAACCAATCATAAGTAAAAGAAAAAATACAATATTATCATTTTAATAAAATATAAACTTGAGGCAGTAAGAATGTACTTACAGTAGCTCTATCTCTAATTGCCTAGGAATTTTAGAAATAAAATCATGTAAGACAGCACACATATTTGGTCTACTATGTTTGAACTATACTATTTAGAAGAAATGCAAGATTTTAACACATAAGCAACAGCGAACAGGGAGATGATACTGAGCTAGAAAAATCAAAAGGAAACATTTTGCTATTTTTCCAGCAGCAATGGAGAGGACAGCAACAACTGAGTGGGATTTTTGTAGGACTTGGGAAATTGAACAGAGGGATAATATCTGTTTTAGGTTAGTAGCTGCTGTGAAATAACTAATAAAAATGATTATCAACAGTAAGTAGAATACTACAGTACATGTATCTGTAAATAATCTGGTCTTGGGCATTCTAGGTATATCTATCAATCAATATCAAAGGAGACATATGTGAAAGAAATTTGAAAACTTGGTGTAAAGTATGATCAGTATGAGTTAACTGATTTGGGGGGGGGAATCCATAAAACATAAAGCCCACCATTCAGGGGTGGGTTACTTCACCATCCTAAGCCTCAGTTTCATCATCTGTAAAATGGAATTAATACTAATACCTATCATTGTTGCTGTGAGAACTAAATGAGCAAAAAAATGCAAGAAACAGAATGTAAAGTGTTTAGCACAGCATACACTAAGTATTCAAAAAATGTTTGCTATATTGCTACCTGTGTAAGTCTGAAAAACACTAAATCCTTAAATTACTTCTTTGCATTAATGAACACACTATTCAATCAAATTGCTCTATATCACTCAAGTTTCACAATTGGTAGGAAATTTGTCAATGTCAGGAAAAACTAAAATCAATAGTTTATACCTATTTGAGAGATAAAAAAGATCTAGTTTTTCTCCATGAGAATATAAGGTGGTTTCCTTCTTTAATATGTTAGATATTAGATTGTACGATATATTTTGTTTACATAAAATATGGTACACAAATGAATATGTTGTGTACCATATAAACTATTTCAACTAAATCTACGCATCTAAAAAAATTGGCATTAAGCCAAAATTAGCAAAACTATAATTTATAGCATTTCTAATTCAAAATTCCTTTGTTATTCATAAATGAATAACTGATTTCTCCAATTCCAAGAAACCATAAAAATCCATTCCATAATATTCTTAATTGCTTATTTTGTATATGATTATTTGGACAGATGGTGCGGTAAGTGACCATGCCTAAACAATTATATGACTGGAGAGCTTATTACTTTACAAAGCATCCTGTTCCTTTGTTCAAAATGTCCCAGTCACTAGACAGTTATTGCATGATTGTAAAACATATGGTAAAAACTTTTAAAGCAAAACTCAAATCACATTTAGTTATACATATTTTAAAAACTGCTTTCACCAACTAATAAATGAAAATAACAATTCTAAAAGTTGTTTGATCAGCAAAAGAAAGAAATTCCTTATGACAGCTCTTGTACGTGGCAATGAAGAATAAATGGCCATTTCCTTTATGTTTTGAGAAAGTGTTCAAATAGAAGTACATTACACGAGCTCTGCTTTGCAGACACCTAATCTTAAAGAAAACTCCCTAGCTATATGAAAAGATTTAAGGAAACAAAGATTGTAGGAATCTCTGACAAAACAGGACTGCATTTTCAATGAGTTCATGTTTTATCCAGATAAATCATTCAAGGATTTCTTTTTCTTCCCATGAAATCCATGATGAGTGGCAAAGATTTCAGATATTCTTTTCAAAAGCTTATATGGCTAAGAAAGTTCAAACAGTATTTTATATTACCTGTATCACCAGACATTAATGGAAATACCATCACTGTTTGAAATCCTTGTACAAATCCTACACTGAATTGTAAACATGTAATTTTCCTTCCTAAATGCTAAAAGAAGTATACAAGGTTTATTTAAGGTACTGATTGATATGTTTGGAACCTTCATTTTAGAAATACCTTGGAAAACAATGGCATAAGTATATACAAACCAGAAATAAAAATTATGACTTAAAAAGAGTAAGTTAAAATGTTTTTAAGGATAACAGGGCCACTTTCAATTATTTAAAACAATAAACTCAATGGAGTTGAAACATTTCTATTATTTCAAATTCAGATATTCCGAATCTTGAGTTTGGATATAAAAATTTCAATTTACCTCAATGAAATCAATTTTCATTGCATCTGTTCATTTAAAAAAATATCTACATATTAATTAACATATGCATTAAATGATGTGTATCTACATATTAATGATTAAACAAATATCTCAACAAGATCAGAATTCTCTGTGGGTATTACTAGAATTTCCAAAAAATATGCATAGAACATATTGGATTTACTCCTCCAAAGTTGGTATTAATGGCATGGTAAGTCAGACCAAAAAAAAAGTATATGGTGTTAACTTTTTAAAAGGGTCTATTTTACTTAATCATTTATCTACTCTGGCAGGATGCAGAAAGAAAAAACTTGGTCAAGGGTTTGTATCCCCGTACCAACCAGCCGCAAAAAAAAAAACAAAAACCGTGCATATAAACTTTTTTTTGAAAAGTTACACTTCTATGAAATTTACACTTTTACATTTATCACTATTGTAGGGGCGAGACAATTACTACCACAAGGCCCTCAAAGTTTGTGAAGTAAGAATTGTTCACAGTCAGGGCTGGCCAGTTAGCTCGGGTGGTTACAGCACGGTGCTGACACCACCAAAGTTCAGGGTTCAATCACTGCACCAGCAGGCTGCTACAAAAAAAATAAAGTTCACACTGTGCTTGTGCTAATGAAAATATGGTCAAAATAAAATACATATCAAATTAGCTTTGCAATTTAGAAACCTGAAATGGTAACTGTTTTGTTAGAAAATAAGCAATTATTTTTTAATTTGCTATATGTCCCAATTTAATATAACTACCTCTTATGAGAAATGAAGAAATGCTTTCTTTTTTGTAAGTAAAAGTAGCATGTTAATGGTTTTTGTTTGATTGAATATATAAATCTATGTCAAATTTTCCACTAATGGTAAGTCTCATAATTAACTGGGTACATATTAAGTAGATCATTGTTTCTTTAAAAACATTCTTTTTCCAATGTCATTAAAACATACTTGTCCCCCATTTTAATACAGAGAACATTTTATTTAAAATAAAAATGTTAATTCAGAAGCCCTCCCCCTCTTAAGCATCCTTATCTTCCAGAAAGACACACTGAAATATTTATTTACATTTAAAATATGGTATCAAGGATTTACTTCCAAATAACCTGGGAGGGAGTAAAGTAGTGGAGGCATAGACAAAATCCCTTAGGAAAGTTGATTATATTATTTTACCTATTTTTATATACCTATTTTTTTCCCGTTATAAAAAGTCAAAAACAACTAAAACACACTAACCTACCAGCAAAGTAACTAAGTATGATGGCACATGTAAACAGTCAATGCCATTCCTTTCTATCACAATTAAATTACAATAGGAATGTAAGCCTACAGAAACTTTATTGGTCTTATTCACTGCTCTATTCCCAATACCTGGAACATGTGAGCACACAGTAAGAACTATACACACAATATTTATTCTACCTTGCTATCTCAGTTTTACTTTTGGCATCACATACAAACCATATCTAACTACAAAATTCTATTACACAGGCTGGCAGACTTGCTTTCATAATGCAAAAGGACATATTTGTTAAAGGAACAGAAAAATAAGGCAGGTAAAAGTAGACAGGACTGCTCCAACCCAGCTATATTAAATGCCCAAAATACTCGTATAAGCTGCTGGTGCCCTGACCCTAATTTCCAAGTTTTACAACCTCTAAAAATTCTGAAACTGGAATTTCTCTCCCATTTTCAAATAAGCCAATAGAAAAATCAACATTTTATATTGTAGCTTCATTAAAATGTTCCATACTATCTATATGTTCCCTCTCAGGCTACCAAGATGGACTCCTACAACTGGAAGTTTACCTGTCTCTAAAAGCCATTCGTCACACAACTTGATAAAGGCTAAGAAATCAGATAACCAAGCTCACAGAAATTATAAGTTAAGTAACAGAAAGCATGCTTTTAAAAACAAAGGGCTTACAAGTATCTAGAAGTTAAATGTAGATATTCTGTGATAACTGGTTTCCTTCCTATAGAATAATATGTATGATTACATCCAGATTCTCTGTAGTGTACTTCTTTGCGCTTCACTCTTCTATTCACCCATCCAAACTCAAAAGCAAATAAAAATTTGTGAAAGCACCTTATACAAGTAATTTATTACTTATACATAAGGAATTTAAAAGAAATCATAAGTGCTAAAATGATTGGTACATTTGCCACGCTGTGCATTTAGGATAAGATTTCTAATACTCAAGTGTAATTTAATACCAGCACCAAAATATATGAGTGTCCAATTGCCATTCCAGGTTTATCAAAGCTAGAAGCTCACAAAACAGCTGTTTTTATTAATAAGTTCACACTAATGTAGTTGATACCATCTCAACAGTCCCCCCTTCACTTCTGATGTACCAGAACTGGTAACAAATGGGGCAAAGGAGTAGTCAGAAAAAGAGAGAAATGCAGTAAAACTCCTTTTTTATTAGAGAACAGAACCCAAATATAGAAAATAAAATAGGATGTTATCTTCCCCTATCCTAGGCCCCAATGATTAGTGGGTTCTCACTTTTTAAAGGATCAGCTAAAGTCTTATAGTTAGGAAAAAATAATATTCTGCCTTTTCAAAACTTTAAGTGAACTTTTTATTGACATACATACAAAAAAGTGTACAAATCAGAAAGGTACTGCTGAATAACTTTTCACAATGTAAAGATATTATGTAACTACCACCCAGATCAAGGAACTGAACACTCCCAGCACAGCAAAATCCTTCCTGTGCTGTCCCCCAGTCCTTACCTCCACCCACTCCCAAAAGTAACCACTTTTCCAGTTAGTTTTGCCTGTCTTGGAATTTCACATAAAAGGAAACATAGAAGATATACTCCTGTGTACGGCTTCTTTCAATGTTATGTTTGTGAGGTTCCTCCATGTTTCTCAAGAGCCATCCTGCTACAGGGGAGGAGTGATACCCCTTGTTCTGCAGGCTACAAGGGGGTCCCATGTGTGTGGCACAGCTGTTTGTTCACCTTTGGTTGCTTGACAAGGCTTCCCAGAATTAAACAGCCTAACCTTTTGGCTTGGTATGGCTTTGGGAGATTCCGAGGGCCCTGGAGTTTCTCAAAGGACATGTTAAAATACACCAAAATTAACTAGTTTATTTAAAGGGCATTGTCAGTACTAAAGGTGTTTCTGATGCATGTTCCCAGTATGGGTTGGCTTGATTTAATTTTGTTGTTGATCTTTTTTGTTAGTGGTGTGTGCATTGACCCATAATTTTAGAATAACTGGCTCTATAGTTGTGATCATACTCTTGGGTGTGTGGAATGTAGTGTGTTAAATTTTTATAAATCTACGTCTCCTAGGGAGACGGTGGGTCTGAGTGCAGTGGTGTTTACAACTAATTGATCACAACCAGTTACAGATTTCTTTGTTCCTTCTCCACTCCCACTGCTTCACTTGACTCACCAAAAATGTGTCATTCCATAGTAGCAATAAGAATGACGCAGTGTACTTGAGTAGGGTCATTTAACTTTTCACTTTTACCCCTGTGCTGTTCCTAGAGTCTCTTGGCAGGGAGATGAGAAGTTTTGTTACAAAGATGAATAAGTTAGATAGTAGAAAAACGTAAATTTTGATATTAACAGGTTTTGTTTAAATCAGTTTGTAACATAAAACTTGTATCAATAACAAAATTTAATAGAGATTTATAGTTAAGTTTTATGATAAAAATGTTATAAATATTGTGATTTTGATTATAAATTAAAATGATTATATTATATAAACAATTGTCAAACATAACTAATCAATGTTATTAAAATCAAGTACAGTAAGTATAAGTAAGATTAAAAAAGGGTTAAATTGTAAACTAAGAAGGTTAAGAATTATAGTTCAAACTAAAAGTCTGACGCTCGTTAAAGCCAAACATGTTGCTATTGTATAGTTTCCTGGCCACAAGCCACAGGCTTTGGGGTGAACTATTGATGCATGAGTAGATGTTTTTGTCAGAGCATGAGTGCTTTAGAACATTTTGACCTTTCCTTTTCAATAGAAATGAAATAAGAAATGGTTTGATTAAAAGATAAATCATTATGTAAAAGATTAATTAAAAAATATAAATAAAGCAAGATTCATGTGGTTGTTGTCCACACTTGTACTAGACCTCTGTGGTCCGTGTCTTTCTTTTTTCACTGAATCCACACCACCTATTCAGGTCCAACGTATCCTGCGGAGCTAGACTCCAACACATGTTGTTGCATCTGGCAGTAGTACATGTATTCTCATTGCTGTATAATTTGCATAATTAATTTATGAACTCTACTGTTGGACATTCAGCTTGTCAGTTTGAAGCTCTTACGAATAATGCTCCTTATGAACATTCTTTCACATGTTAATATGATATGCCAATATGGTTTTTAAAATAACATTAGATGATCTCTGCTTTGTAAGCAAATATTTTAAAACATTTAGTAAGTTATGCTTTTATTAGATCCAAAGTCAGAAATTATAACTTCATTTACTTTTCTGTTCTAGTGTCAAGCACTTTAACCCAAGAATGTAGTAGGTCCATTAAAATCAGATGTGAATACAAAATTATTTTTTCAACTAAATGTAGGCAACAAACCACATAACAGCAATAGCATTATCTGTGACTTTGTCACCAACAGAAATCATATCATGTTACAGCTAGCTGTTGCAGAGCTCAAAGTATCATTTATACTCCTCACTACTTTGAAATTACAGCAATAAAACTCCTACTACTAGCTGATACTTAATGACCTATTAAAGGAGTACATATTACTATATTACAAATTTGTTTTTTAATAGTTTGATAATATTAAACAAAATAAGTCCAAGTTCACCAGAAATAATGTATCTAAGTCTTATGGAGGAGGGATATGGGAATACACAGGATTTATAAACTAGGAGAGGTTGAAAGGGGGAATGGAGAGACCAATCTAATGCAATTAAAAAGAAGAAAAAGGAGGATTGAACCTGTACAAGGTCTGGGCAGGTTCTGTGCTCTCAGAACGAGAAAAGCAATTGAGGCTGCTCGGTTCCTCCTCCTCCAGGAGGAACCGAGCAGCCAGAGAATTTAAGGGAGTGAAATTTACTTTTATGTACTAAAGAGATAGTTGAGTACACCTAGTCTGACATTAAGGACACTTGTGGTATAAAACATATCTCCCTAACTGCTGATGAAATTATTTTACAAGGGGAAAAAAGCCTCTGTTTCACATTTATGAACAAATAGTATTAAATAAAAATATTTGGTTTTGTTTAGATTTTACTACAATATGCTCATTCATTGAGGACTTCCATCACCTGTTATCTCTACCTCAACCCCTGTCACCATCAGTGAGTTCAATCTTTATCTACATCTATATTTCTTAATTCTGCATATAAGAATTACCTGGTAAACTTTTAAACAATACTGATGTCCAGATAACAACCACAGAGATGATAATTTAATTATCTGGAATAGAGCCAATAAACAGGTGTTAAAGAACTCTCTAGGTGGTTTTAAGGTGAGAGCCTCTGATCTAAATCACTGAGCCAAAATCTAGCTTGAAAGTTTTCTTGATCTCAACTCCAATAACTTACACCAACCCTCTATTCCTACCACCACACACTGAACTTCACCCAGAACTGTTCCATCTTGAAACTCCACACTCTAAAATACCAATTGCCTACGTTTCTGCTACACCATGGCTTTCAACCTCAGTAAGTCTTTTTTGTTCCTCAACCCCACACTCCCTTTCAGCCTTACTCCCTTCCTTAATCAGCCCAGACCACACAGTATATCACCTCAATAATTCTCTGGGTTAGAACCTTCAATATCCTCATCTCCCTAGGTCCACCGCTCATCTTAGAATCTTAAATCAATACAGCAACCTGTTTCCCCCATTCCCAAACTGGGCAACTTAGGTATTAAAACACACAATCTTGCAGACTGATGCTCAGTTGGTGGCATAATCACACAGAAAATTCTTTTAAGTATCTTCGAAATACAGTATTTTAAAATTCCTAATGAGATATATCCTTGGCAGGAGAGGGGGTGAAATCCTAAAAAGTAAACTTAAAAAAAAAAGTCATCCCTGTTCCCATCTCTGCATTACTTCTATGTCACTTGTTTATTTTTCCAGGCAAACTATAAAATAATTTTATCAAGTTAAAAAAAAATTTTTAAACATTGGGTTTGATTAGAAACATAAAGTCTATAAATTAACCTGGAAAGAAATGATATGTAGTAATAACTAAGTCTGCCCCTCCTAAAATACGAGTGGTTGGGACTCTTCATTTTTTCCATCTTAAATCAACCCCAACCTGGGCTGTAACCTAGGCCGATAACAACCTACCCATCTAAGTGAGTTTAAATAATATACACGTATCTAAGTAAAAAAACAGCTAACATATGAAAAAATATCTGTGCCCTTCGATGGTATATAATGAATTCATAATATATCTACGTACCATCACCATAATCCCAGGCCCATGGTGCTTAGAGTGGGCCTATGTGGAAGTTTAAGTTAACAGTTTCTTGACCTTCCCCAAACCCTCTCTTAGGCCTCCATAGAGGATTCTGAGGAGAGAATACATATATTCGTTCAATAAATATTCATATCCTATGATGTGCCAGGTACAAGATACAGGGCTGGGAATAGTAAACAAAACAGCAAGCTCCTTGGGAGAGAAAAGGCCTGGCTCAGAATTCCCAATTCCCAGAGCACCAAAGAGACAAGTGGTAGGACCGCACACCAGAAGCAGCCTGCCTGCCCCTGAGCCCCCCAGGCATTCTTACTCACTAGCCAGACTGCCTGCCTGATCGCAGAGAAGCACACCTATAGAATCCTAACTAGGGATATTAACATGTTTCTCATCTAGAAAGAGAGTTATCCTCTTCTAAAATGAAAGCCTACTTTTAGAATTTTATATATTCAATTGTAAACATTTTTAGGAATATAAAAAAGTAGGTGACAACCAAGAGCAGAAGCAGGTGCTCAAATGCTTCTCTATTAACTGATGGTCTGAACTTTATAAAACCTAAAATTTTCTTCTCAAATTAAATTTAACATAAACCATTCATTTTAGAACTTTAAACAAAAAATATAAAATATAGATTTTTTTACTTAAATAAAACATCACCATTTATTTTCAAACTTTTAACTTTTAAAAGATAAGCCTGATCTATTTTTCAACCTAGACTGGTAAATGTCTGATACCTGAAGATTTTAACAGGCCAAATTTTGGTGTATCAAATTAACTGAAACACTAGGTTTTGAATAATTCAACATGTAAGAGTAACTTACACTGGGATGACTTCGAGGAGGTACTCGTTCTCTTGGAAGTCTTTCATAGCCATATCGTCCCTCAGACCACATTTCATCTCTTCTGAAAGCCACTAAAGAAAAAAAAGAAACCAAAGAATGATGGGTTTTTTTGTTATTAGGAAGTAATAGAGAAGATAAGGAAGGAGTAAATGATTACTTTCCAACACAAATATTTTCCAGGGCTCTTAAGAGGAAAAAATATATGTGACCAAAAGAAAAAAGGAGTCATTAAGATAATGCTTCTTCTCACCAAGATCAAAGGTTCAGAACCCTGATCCCTGTCCCAGCCAGTACCAAAAAAACAAAAACAAAGACCATGCTTCTTCCAAAAAATTTTGAGATTTTTTTAAAAAAAAAAAAAAAAAAAAAAAAGTACTAGAAAGCCCCACCTTCCTTCTATTTTCAAGGCTATTTAAAGCTTCGAAGAAATTGTTGTCACTAATAATGGGAGGAAGAGCCACAGACCACAAATATTTCTTCATTCTCATATAGTAAAAAACAAAAAAGATTCACTTTAATAAAGTTTAAAAGGCTGATCAGCAAAGCTACTCCTACTTCCTGCTGAATGGTTTTATAAGATTAGTTGTTGTTTTTTTTCTAAAAAAAGATGACTGGTAAGGGGATCTTAACCTTTGACTTGGTGTTGTCAGCACCACACTCTCCCAAGTGAGCTAACCAGCCATCCCTATATAGGGATCTGAACCCGTGGCCTTGGTGTTACCAGCACCACACTCTCAAGTGAGCCCCAGGCCAGCCTACGATTAGTTTTTTGCTTTCCAACATTCTTAGAGGGGCCGGCCCGGTGGCGCACTGGAGAGTGCGCCGCTTGGGAGCGTGGCGGCCCTCCCGCCGAGGGTTCGGATCCCATGTGGAGACCGGTTCCCACTCACTGGCTGAGCGGCGGCCCTCCCGCCGAGGGTTCGGATCCCATGTGGAGACCGGTTTCCACTCACTGGCTGAGCGCGGTGCGGGCGCGACACTGAGGGTTGCGATCCCGTTACCGGTCAGTAAAAAAAGACAAAAAGGAAAAAAAAAAAAAAAAAAACATTCTTAGAGCTTACATCTTTCCATATGTTCAACGAAGTGGTTTTAACTGAAAAGTTGTTAAATGAACAATCCTGTAAAAACACACTCAATGAACCCTGAAACAAACCACAGCAATCACTGAAACAAACCACATCTAAATTTGTTTTTAATGCTATAAATTTATTTTAATGCAAAGGAACCCTGGTAAAATTTTAAATTAAAAGTTCTGTCAGCATTTTTCAAGTTTGGGACACAGAAAAAGGAGGATATTTTCTTTTCATAAAAGTAAAATCTGCTTCCTACTTTGAGAGCTGACAGATTCTGTGTAGGGGGCGAGTACAGTGCATTACAGAGTCCAAGGGCGCACAGCTGCAAGTGTTCTTGCAAAATGAAAAGCTGCAACATGCACAGGCAGAAGACAAGGTAAACAAGGCAAACAAGAGAGAAGATGAGAACAGGATACAGGAAAACAGGTCATTTACATGAAATGGTGATGCAGTAGATTAGGGGTTAGCAACTTTTTCCATAAGGGATCAAATATTTGCAGCCTTGTGGGTCAAAGGTCTTTGTCACAACTATCATGTGAAAGGAGCCACAGGCAATATATATGAACATATGGGTTTGTAAATCTTATATACAAAAATGGGCATAGCTTGAGAACCCCTGCAGTAGACGACATATGGTTAACAGAGCAGAACCAAGAGAGCACGCCGTAATCATGGAGCAGGTTCTGAGCCAAGAACTGTGAACCATCTTCATATGTAGAAGAAACATCATGAGGGAGAAACAAAAATAGGCCAAGTACTGTAATAAGTTAGGGCCTTTTAGTATATAAGTTCAGATGTGTACAGATCTGTGAAGAAGAAAACATTTCAGAAAAAGTCACATGAAAAGATTTTTGGGCTAGCCCGTTAGCTCAGTTGGTTAGGGTGTGGTGCTGATAACACCAACGTCCAGGTTTTGATCCCTGTAAGAGCCAACCAAAACAAAACAAAACAAAAAAAAGATTTTTGGCGGCTTCTTATAATGCAATACTAGGGGTGAAAAAAGAGATGGATATACCATTTTGGCAGTATAAAATTGGCAGTATAAAATAGCTGTAGAATTCTAATAGTTTAGTTAGTTTAGGCTGAGAAAAAAAGGCTGAAAGAGCAATTTATTTTATACTATCATAGTAAAGCAATCTTAATTTTCTCTGTAAAAACATACCTATACTACTTTCTAATAAAAATAGACCCAATAGAATGAACTAACCAAAGATGCCTAAGGAAATCTTAATTTCTTTAAGAATTAGCTTTTAATGTTACGCATAAATTCCCATTGCTAAATTTGACTGGCTTTAAAAAAAATATGCATAAATCAAACTGAATTCTCAGTCTACAATCAGAACTATTTGAAAACAAGTCTTTTAGGTACAAGAATTGATGGAAGCTTGAAAGGAAAATAAATTGTCAACATTACTTCTCCTCTCCTACCTTTATTGAACCCACCAAGGCTTTCAGTCTTAAGAGGCAGATTTTATCATATTTAATATACAGTATAGAGAAATAACAATACTGATTTAAAATCAAATCAATGGAAAAAGTCAAAAACCTGGAAGAAAAATGAACATACAAGCAGATAATTCGCAAAAAATGGTTCTTAAATATTTTTGAAAATATGCTCAACCTCCTGCAAAATAAAGATGATGGAAACTAAAGCTATAATGGGGTATAATTTTCACCCAAAAGGTTGGCAAAAATCAAACTTTAATGAGATAAGGAAAGCAACACTTGCATAAGTTAATGAAGTAAGTAAAGTTTGGTACAGAGTGGGAACAATTTAGCAATATCTATTAAAATTTTCAATGGACATATGCTTTGACCTAGCAATTCTACTCCTAGGTAGACTGAAAGCAACCTAAAATAAAATCAAGAGAATACAGAGTAAATAAATTGTTGTACAGTCATATAAAGGAATATTATGTAAACTATTTCAAAGAAAAGTAACCCCATATATAACAATATGGGAAGACTGCCAAGATACATAGCTAAGCAAAGAAAAGCACAAGGCAGATTAACATATTAATAATAGACAGTGCTACCATTTGTGGAAAATAAAAAGGCAGGGTATGAATATATATGCATATATACAGACTGCTTCTGGGAGTAAAATAGCAAGAAATAATTGCAGGAGGTTACTCTGTAGCCTAACTTCTATATTTAAGCACTATATTTACAGAAACTTATGCAACTTAACTATTGTATTGGTAGAAGAAACTAATTTCCTTTTATGAAATTATTTACTATATACAGTACTACAATTGAAATTTTAAATTAAGATGTTTAAAAATTGTCAACTTTTTAAGGTAAAGAGAATTTGTTTATTTATTGTAACTTTAACTTGAAACTGTGATTTCTGTAGCTTCCTATAAGATAAACACACCCCTGGGGCATCATTCCATATGGAGTCAAATAAGCAAACTTATTATAGGATTAACTGGAAGAGTTGAAATTGTAGTAACTCAAGTGCAATGTCTGGTTATTTCATGAATGCTGGTTGTTTCTGGTAAAAGTTCAGTATATGAAGGTGCTTCCAAAAGTTCATCAAAAAGTAGAATTAAAAGATAATGGGCTGGCCCGGTGGCGCACTCGGTAGAGTGCGGCAGCGCTCCCACTGAGGGCTCAGATCCCATATAGAGACCAGTCGGCTCACTGGTTGAGCGCGGTGTGGGCGTGACACCGAGGGTTGCGATCCCGTTGCCGGTCGCGGTACGGGCACAACACCGAGGGTTGCGATCCCGTTACCAGGTCACGAAAAAAGACAAAAAGGAAAAATAAATAAATAAATAAAAGATAATACGAGTCTTTCCATGAATTTTTTGAAGTATCCTCATGCAGGTTGATGTTCTGCTGAAGTGATTGTTTAGATTCATCCAATTAAGTAACCTTTATTATGTGGTTGGGAGTTTGATGCCAGAGAAATTCATGCTTTTGGCTTTTTTTTTTTTAAGTTTTACTGTGGTAAAATGTACATCAAATTTATCATTTTAGCCATCTTTAAATGTTCAATTCAGTGGCATTAAGTATATTCACATTGTTTGCAACCATCACCAGCATCTGTTTCCAGAACTTTTTTCCTCTCCCCTAACTGAAACTCTTACCCATTAAACAATAACTCCCTGTCAGCTGAATTTACTTTTATTTAGGCCTCTTTTTTTTTTCCTTTTGCTTCAATTTGTGGAGGCATCTCTGGAATTTTTTTTTTTTTTTTTTTTGGTGGCTGGCCAGTATAGGGATCCAAACACTTGACCTTGGTGTTACAACAGTGACTGCGTCTGGGAAGAACTAGGTGGCTGGGGCATAGGAGGATGAATATTTTACTGCATAATGTTTTATATATCCTATTATGTATTATAAAAATATGTAACAGTTTTTAAAGTTCCTGAAAATCATTCAGTAAGCACAACATGTCAAATGCTGGCATAAATGATGAATATAAATTAATGAAGTAAAGGAGAACATAAGTAAAAATAAGATTTTCTAATTAATGAGAAAAAATATACTACAAGAGTTCTAAAGAAATACTATGTAGCTTCTTAACTAGTAATAATACTGAAATATTAAAATTTACTGTCTTCCCACAAAAAATGTAAGAATGACTACTATACTAAATACTACTATCCCATACTTACTTGAGCCCTTTCAGGAATCAAATTTAAAGTTTTCAACAATCTCCTGTAGGGGCAGGGGGAAATACAGACATAACGATTTGTGTCTGTATAAACCAACCAATAGAAAGAAATAATTAAACCTTCCCTATTTGTATAAATAAAACTCTCATAATAAAAAACTATGGGCATTAATTAGCCAAACTCCTTTCAAATTCTCTTTGAAAAGAGAAGATATTATTTTGACCACCAGAGTCCACCCGAGTTTCATAAGAATAACAGAATTATGGTAAGAGAATTCCAGTTCTAATTTTGTCAGTGGAGAGCTAGGCAGGGCATCTCTCCTATCTTTATCTCTAAGAAGATTGCACTAGATGTTTAAGGTCATCTTTAGCT